GTGTGTGTGTGTGTGTGTGTCTGTGTGTGTGTGCGTGTGTGTGTGTGTGTGTGTGTGTGTATGTGTGTGTCTGTGTGTGTGTCTGTGTGTGTGTGTGTGTGTGTGTGTGTGTGTGTCTGTGTGTGTGTGCGTGTGTGTGTGTGTGTGTGTGTGTGTGCCCATATGTTTGCGTGCATATGGAGGACAGAGGCCAATGTTGGGCATGTCCCTCAGTTGCTCTGCACCTGGTTTTTGCAGCAGTCTCTCACTGAACCTGGCGCTCACGGCTTTGGCTAGACTCTCAGCCACTGAACTCCAGCGTGTCTCCTGCACTCAATGCTGGTTACAGGTGTGTGCCACCTTGCCTGGCTTTTACATGGGTGCTGGAGAGGATTTGCACTCAGATCCTCGTGTTTGCATGGCATTTGCTTTACCCACTGAGCCTTCTCTCCAGCCCTGTTGGAGATGTATTATCTAAAGCCCAAATGTTAACACTAAAGCCCATCTCAGAATGAGACTTTATTTGCAGACTGAGTCTTTGAAGAGGTGATTAGGCCAAAGTGAGGCTTTTTAGGTGGACCATGAACTAAGATGGACAAGTGTCCTTTCAGGAAGCAAGAGACAAAGGGACCATTGTGGGAGCCCCTGGGGAAGACCCGGCCTTCAAGCCACAGAAACCTTAGAAGGACTAACCTCCTCAAACTTCAGCCTCCAGAGCTATGAGAAAACAGATGTGTTGGTTAGGAGGCCCGGCTGCCAGAGCATCCTGCTTCAGTAGTGCCGTGAGTTCAGAGGACAACTTTTGGTATTGTTCCCTGGGTGCTGTCCGAGCTGGGGTCTCTCACCGAACCTGGAACTCAATGGCTAGGCTGTCGTTAGGAAACACATTCCTCACAGGTTCACTTGTTTAAGCACTGTCTCCCACCAGGTGGCGCTGTCTGGGAAGGTTATGCGCCACTGGGAATGGACTTTGAGCTTGTCTACCCTTGTCTCATTCCCTCTTCCCTCACTCTGCTTCGTAGGTGTGGATGAAGTGTGAGCTCTCTGCTTCCTGACTATGAGGCTGCCTCATGCTCCCGCTGCCAGGCCTTCCTCTAGCGTGATGGACTCTATCCCTCTGAAACTGTAAGCCAAACCCTTCCTTCCCCAGGCTGCTTTTGATCAGAGTGCTCTCTCATGGCCACAGAATGCACCTAGGGCAGCTATGCTAGCTGGCCAACAAGCCTCGGACCTTCTCATTTCTGCCTCCCAGCTCCAGGGCTATGGGGGTGTGTGCCAGGGCTGGGTTTTTAATGTGGCTTCTGGGGCTGAAGCACTGGTCCTCATGTCTACAGGTCACGCACTTTGTCAACCCAGCCGTTTCCCCCGCCTGAAAATTCTGTATTTTATTTCAAATCTCACCATGATCAAAACAACAGATCCTGCCCAGCATTCCAGAGCTCCTGGCTTGCTGCCCTACCTGACTATCCGTGGGAATGCTCCTGTCCTTGGGTCGTGCTTAGTCAGGGTTACTATTGCAGATATGAAACACCGTGACCATAGGCACTTCCATATAACAGTCCATCATCAAAGCAACGGGAGCAGGAACTCAAGCAGCGCCAGAACCTAAAAGCAGGAGCTGATGCAGAGGCCATACAGGGGTGCTGCTTACTGGCTTACTCCCCATGGCTTGCTTACCATGCTTTCTTATAGAACCCAGGACTATCAACCCAAGGATGGCAGCACCCACAATGGGCTGGGTCCTCCCTCATCAATCAGTAATTAAGAAAATGTCCTCCAGCCTGGTACAAATTTCTAGTTTGTACAAACTTCTAGTTCTACCACATGGAAGGCAGAGGCAGGCAGATCTCTGTAAGTTCGAGGCCAGCCTGGTCTGTATAACAAATTCCAGGCCAGCCGGAGCTACGTAGTGAAACCATGTCTGGATAAAAAATAAAATAAAAGCACTATAGGCCTGTGTACAGCCTGAGATTAGGAGGCTTTTCTCAGCTGAGGCTCCTTCCTCTCTGATGACTTCAGTGCGTGTCAAGTTAACATAAAACTAGCTAGCCACAGGTAGGAAGGAAGCTTTCATTGCCAACGCCATCTTTATGATTCCTGAGGGTTGCTCAGGACAAGAATCCAGCAGCATGCTGAAGTTAACTAAAGCATGCCTTCAAGCGTCTATTGACCATGGTCCTGCTCATCTAATTTCTCTTATAGCTTATTAAGTCCTTCAGCAAAAATCACTAGGAACAACCCTACAACCAACCGAAGTGGAGATTCTACCTCCTTCACAAAGCTGTGCATCATGGGATCTGGGTAGGGGGTTAGTCTTAGCTGGGAAATGTCAAAAGAGCTTATTGGACCTGGGCTTGAGCTGGGTGAGCAAGGGCCATCCATAGGAGATAGGCTCAGCTGTGGGGCAGACAGCAGTCAAACAGTCTATGCCAGGGGAGAGTGCCATGGACATGCCACAGTGCCAGTGTGGTTCAAGGACAACTCGTGGGAGGGGCCGGTTCTTTCCTCCCACGGGGCCTAAGCCAGGTATGGTTACCACTAAAACTGTCAATTGACACATCTAGAGTCTAATATTAATTCCACAACAATTACCCCCACACACACTGTCTTGGGTCATGTGAATGCTTTTTAGTGCCTTAGTTAATTTACCTATACCATGGGTTTATTTATTTTTAATTCTTACTTATTACCAGTGTGTGGATATGGGTGTGTGATGAGTGGGTGTGTGCCACAGCTCGTGTGTGGAGGTCAGAGGACAACTTTGTAGACTCACTCCTCCCTTCCGCCTTTACCATGGGTCTGGGGGTTGAACTTGGATCCTCGGGCTTTTGAGGCTGGGTGGCGAGTGCCTTTACCCACTGAGCCATCTCACTGGCTCAAGCTTGGTTTCCTACATTGTCTATATGATAGAGCTGGTGAGTGTGGCACACTCAGCTGAGCTGTGTTGGGGTTGGTCTGGAGCTACTATGTATTCACGTGTTAATTGCTTGCCCTCCGCACCCCAACATCCTTACTGTCCTGCAAACAAATTCTCATGTATCCAAAATGACATTGTGTGAACCTTGACTCTCAAGTGATCCCTGGTTGGCTAATAAAGTTGTCTACAGCCTGGACTGGGCAGAACAGAGGTAAATGGAGCAAAGGTTTGCACGCTGGTGGAGTCAAAAAAGGACCATGAGGAGGAGAGAGAAAAGAGGAAGAAAGGAGCAGGTCATCATGGGTTAATGTAACCAGGAGCCCGTGGCCAAGAGCAGCTTGCTCTGAGGACTGGAGCAGAAGCAGCCCAAGCGGAGCATGTGCAAGTACTTATGGGATTTTGGAAGGGAAGTAGACAAGATAGCTTAGAGGGTTAATATCTGCCCAGCTCCAGAGTTTTAAGGCTTATAATAAATCTAATAGATTTCTGTATCATTTATTTATAAAATATTGGGTTAAGGAATAATTGCTGCTGTATTAATAATTGACTCCAATTAATATTACCATTAATATTAATGGCATTAATATTAATTATTAATAATTAATGTTAATTATTAGCCTGTAGTAATTAATTCCATTTACATATGCCTTAATATGAATTATTAATATTAAATATTAATAATCATTCCACAGACCTGTCTTTTTGCTGCTCCACTGTGGAGATTTGTCTTCCAGTGTTTGGGAGGGGTCCTGGCTGTTTTTATGTCAACTTGACACTAGCTAGAGTCATCTGAAAGAAAGGAACCCCAGTTGAGAAAACGCCTCCATAAGATCCAGCTGTATGGCATTTTGATGGGGAGGGCCCAGCCCATTGTCAGCGGTGCTGTTCCTGGACTGGTGGTCCAGGGTTCTGTAAGAAAGCAGGCTGAGCAAGCCATGAGGAGCAAGCCAGTAAGCAGCACCCCTCCATGGCCTCCACCTCAGCTCCTGCCTCCAGGTCCCTGCCCTGCTTGAGTTCCTGTCCTTGGTGATGGACCATGACCTGGAAGTATAAGCTGAAATAAACCGTTTCCTTCCAAGTTGCTTTGGTCATGGTGTTTCATCACAGCAGTAGTAACCCTAACTAGGACAGGAAACAATCAGCCATTATGCCTTCATATACTTTTCTACACTTAGGGAATGACTATGCCTTCCCAGTGAGAAATCACTTAGAGATTATTAAGGAAAACTCTTTAATGATAGCACAAGGCTAGTTCTGCTACTGCACGAACAGGAACCAGCCCCAGACAGGAACCCCATCAGCTTACGGAGTTCCACAGCCCCAGCTTACACTTTGAGCAACTAAACGTATTTCACAGAGACAGAAATCCCAAGGTTGATTGTTTGGACAGACAGGAGATTTACAATGTCAAAATCTTGTCGTATTATCTCTGGAGGGACCAGGACTACTGTCCCAGGCAGCTGCTAACCAGGGCTGTCCCGCCTGGCTGGCAGGACTGTGCTCTCCCTAAGGGTGGAACTGGGAAGAACTTTATCTAAACTCTACTTTGTGTAACTTAGTGATTCCTAAGCACGTTTTGTAGGTCCTTTGTTGGATCAGCTATTATTCTTTTATTATTCCTGGTTTGTCCTAGATGAACACAGTGTCTTTCTCTTTATTTCTGGAACTCTAGTAGCAGGAATGTCTAGATCTTTCTGTGCTACCCCAAAGAGCTCTTAAGGTTTGCTTGGTATGTTTTGGTAGCTTCTGACCTGCTTTTCAAATGGAGTACTTTAATTTTGATCCCAGGGGTTTTTCCCCTGTGTTGTTCCTCATTTCTCTCACGATGTTTCAGATACTGATTTTTTTTTTTTTTAGTTGAAGCTTCCGTTCCTTTTCATGATTTCTGTTTTCTGTGGAGAGTCAGGAGCTTTCTGCTAGCAGAGTGCTAAAGCCTTTGTTCCAGCATCTAGGGCAGCTACCGTCCGTCTCTGTCCATCTTGTTTTTCCTTGAGAGTGGCTCACATTTCCTGGTTCTAGTGTGTCTTTTGATGCTTTCATGACTGATGTGGACTCTGTCTTCCCAGAGCTCTCTGGAACTCACTGAGTAGATTCATACGAGTCCCATGTTGTCATTTGTGGTAAGAGTTTCTATGCCAGCTGTTAGAAATTGTCCTCATCTCCTTTGGGTGTGGCCCATGCACGTGCCACTTAAAGGTTATCCTTGGACCCAGGCAGAAGTTTCTTTTAAACCTCAGTTCCTTCAGCCTTCACTGTGGCGCTCTGGGTTCGTGCACAGCTCAAGGGTTATCAGTTAGTCTTCCTATTGCTGTGGTAAAATGCCCGACCAAAGCAACTTAAGAAAGGAGCAGTTTACTTTAGCTGGTGGCATAAATGCTCAGTCCTTCATGGAGGAGAAGGCGTGGTGGCAGGTGTGTGAGGCGGCCGGTCACACTGTGTCCACAGTCAGCAAGCAGCGGGAGCGTGAGGTGGCCGGTCCACGCATCCACAGTCAGCAAGCAGAGAGAGATGGATGGCTCAGCTCACTTTCTCCCTTTTATTGGGTTTGGGTAGCAGCCCAGCTGCACTGTGGAACACAGCAAGTTCAGACCTGTCTGAATCCCCAGCCACAAGCTCTGTGAGCATCTTACTTACTTACTTATTTTGGCTTTTTGAGACAGGGTCTTCCTGTGTAGTCCTGGCTTTGCAGACCAGGTTGGCCTCGAACTCACAGGGATCTGCCTGCCTCTGTCTTCTGAGTGCTGGAATTAAAGATGTGTGCTACCACACCTGCCTTCCTGAGCATTTTATTTTATTTTAATTTATTTTAAACCCTTTATTTAAGACTTTATTTTATGTACATCAATGTTTTGCCTGTATACCATGTATATGGCTGGTACCTGAGGAGGTCAGAAGAGGGCATCAGATCCCCTGGAACTGGAGTTACAGATGGTTGTAAGCCACCATGTAGGTGCTGGGAGTTGAACCTGGGTCCTCTGGAAGAGCAGCCAGTGCTCTCAACCACTGAGCCATCTCTCCAGCCCCATCCATGAGCATTTTAGATGGCCACCCTTTACTTCTGTTGACGCTGGGTGTTACACGGCCTGGGAACTGGACTGGGGGTCAGCTCTCAGACCATTTACAGCTGCCTCCAGGGCTGCCCAGGCTACTTTCCCCCTTGGTACCCCTCCCCCACTTTATCTGATCCCTTAGAGACTCACTCCATTAACAACAGTGACCAGCCAGGTGTGCAGGCCAAAATTTCAAGGCCAGCCTGGGTGACAGAGGGCGACAGAGGGCAATCCTGCCTTGAGATAAAAATCAAAGGGTCTGCAGATACCGTTCGGTGATTAAGAACCTAGGCTTCAGAGGACACGAGTTCAGTCCCCAGTGACACTGGATGGCTCAGACCTTCCTGTAACCTCAGCTCCGAGGAGCCTGGTACAGTCTTAACATGGGCATTGTGCCTCTGTGGGCACTCACACACGGGCTTGGCGCAGTGCCTGTGGTTAGAAGCTCACGCAGCTCTGACAGAGGACATGGGTTTGGTTCTCAGCACACATGGCAGCTCACAACCATCCATAAGTCCAGTTCCAAGGGACCTGACATCCTTTTCTGGCCTCCACACACAGACAGGCATGGGTACACAGATATGCATGCAGGAACATAATAACTATAAGTAAATGAAATATAAACAACTTGTTCTTAAAGAGTATAATGCTGCGGGTGGGTGTCGCCCAAAGACTCACGTCACTGGCTTGGGAAGCAGTTCAAGTGGCTGACCAGGACGGCTTTCCCCTCCTTCTCCAGTTACCAAAGCCGCACCACCTCCTGGATTCTCAGCCTCAGAGACGGACAGTTGGCAGCCGGTGGAATGGAGGCTTTCGGCGGCAGAATCGTGGCTCTGAGCAGAGAGCATCAACTCTCGCCTCCTGACACTCTGCCAGTCTGCGGTCAGTACAGCCTGACATGTCTCACAGACTATCATGTTGCTTTGGGAGGGCTTTGGGGGTGTCAGAAAGTAACTTGCAAAGGCAGGCGCAAGCCAGGCCATCCTTGTGGGGACCTGGTGTTCCCTCTCTCTATGCGTTGTCCACTCTTCACTGCCAATGGCACCGGATGGAATTTCGTGGGTATGACAAAGTTATGAAAACTGTCTGGCAGTTTCACACCATTCTCAGGAAGTTCCAACATGGAGTTACGTCACTGGAGGGGCCTTTCCACCCGGGATATGTGGAAGCAGCCTTTCACCCACAGGACTCCTTACAGTGTGGCATGCAGAGGAACCCCACCAGGACATGTGGACCAGGAGGTGTGTGTGACCAGGAGGCTGAGCAGAACTTCAAGCAGAGGGAGCTGGCGTCAAAGGGAGCCGCTCGCAGCTCTGCAGCAGCGAACATGGTAAAGCCCTCCTGGGCCTGGGGCACAGGCTCTGTTGGTGGAATGCGTGCCTGTCATTCGTGAAGTCCTGGGTTCCCGAAGCTTCACAGACGGAGTGTGGTGGTGCAGGCCTGTGAGCCCACCCCAGGAGGTGAAGGTAGGAAGATCAGAAGTTCAAGGCCAGCCTGCACTAGATTAGTCTCTCTTCCCAATACATAAGTGCGCGCATGGCTGTGTGAGTGTTTGTGTGAGTGTGTGCATGTGTACCTCTGTGTGTTTGCATATGTGCATGTGAGCATGTGTGTGTGTGTGTGTGTGTACATAAGGCCCTAGGTTCCATTTCTAACGTGGCTACATATATGAATACACACACTCACACATATGCACACACACCTAGAATTTAAAGCAAATTAAAAGTGAACTTGGGGTCAGTGATCATTATCTTAAAATGAAGCCACTTACTTCGGGGGCTCTGATGTAACTCTGTGGTGTAGCTTGCCCAGCAAAGGGAAACTGAGTTCAATTCGCAGACCCAGAATTGAAGGAAATAATGCCGCTTTGATGGAGGCTTTGTAAAGCTGAGGGTTGGGCTCAAAGGGAAATGTGATCTCCCTACAGGAGCGGCCGCTGCTCCCCAGGCCTAGTGTGTGTCCGTGGAAGAGGTTAAGGAGCCTTGCCCTGGCTCTTGCCTTAATGTGCTAAGACTCCGGGGATCATCAGGAAGTGCTGTGGGGGGTGAAGAGGGGGGTCTCAAAGGCCATGCACCGGCTTCTCCGGGCCGAGGGGGCAGTGACCCCCAGGCCGGGCAGGGTCTGTTCACCTTGCAGCCAGGTCACTTCATGCCTGGCGTTTCCTTCTCGGCGCCTCTCTCCCACCAGGGCTGTTTCAGCCACACACATTTTCACTCAGAACAACTTCCTCCTCGATGTAGCAGCTCCAGGACGGCCCCGCTGCCCGCCTGCCCAGGTCTCAGACTGTTCTGCACCCAGGCTGGACTCAGCCTCCGATGTGTCACCGGTGAGTCATGGCTCTTGCTCACTCCATAGTAAGGTTGGCATCCTGGCTTGTGCCGGAAGATGGCTGCACCCTCTCTTCCGGCCTGCTCTGTCTGTGCCAAGCTCACCATCGTCTGCAGGAGCCAGCCTGAGGACCTTGTCTCAAACAAACAAACAAATCTTGAAATGAAGGTAGGTGTTACTTAGGTTAGACACACTAACTAGTCTCAAGACAGTAGTGATGAGGCTGGAGAGATGGCTCAGTGGTTAGGAACGCTCACTGCTCTCGCCGAGGGCCCAGGATCAGTTGCCCGTACACAGCAGCTCACAGCCTCCTAAACCACTGCTCCATGAGACCCTGTGCCCTCTTCTGGACTCCACAGGCTCTTGCACACACATGTGCATTTAAACTCATGCAGGAGCATACACGTACACACACTCAGACATACAAAGAGTAAATTTTAAAAATCATAATAATTGCAGGTCCTGATTTGGATTTGATTATGACCTAAGTTTGGCATTTTCAATGAATTCTTTAAAAAAAAAAAAAAGACATTTCTTTATTATGCATACTGTGTTATGCCTGCAGGCCAGAAGAGGGCACCAGATCTCACTCCAGATGGTTGTGAGCCTCCATGTGGGTGCTGGGAATTGAACTCAGGACCTCTGGAAGAGTAGCCAGCGCTTTTGACCTCTGAGCCATCTCTCCAGCCCCTTTCAATGAATTCTTAAGGCTGAACCCATGTGAATATTAAATAAAGTATACCTTTGTTACTAAAAGGTTTGTTTTTATTTCTGTGCATGTGCACACTTCTCTGAGTATGTGGCTTGTGTGTGCGGGTGCCCACAGGGACCAGAAAAGGCCGTTGAGATCCCTGAACCTGGGATTACAGGCAGCTGTGAGCTGCTCTAGGCGGGTTCTCCGCAAGAGCAACGCATGTCTTATTCTCAGAGCCGTCCCTCCAGCCCTGCCTCTTGCTTTAAAAAGCAAACAACAGACAAACGAAAGGACAGGGTCTGCTGAGATTACAGGTGTGCACCACCATGCTTAGGCGGGATGTGCGCTCTTGCAGACACAGGTCTTTCTGTGGGGTTATCTCTGAGGAAAATCATGTGGGAAAGAAAGAAACAGGAGCTAGGTCTGTAGCGCAAAGATCACGGGAAGAGTGCTGTAGGTTACTGAGAAACAGTGTCGGCGCTGATGGGTTGCCGGAAGAACTGGACGCTGCGGACCGATTTAGGGTCCTCAGCAGCAGGCCAGGCCCAAAGCCTTGTGCAGGCTAGAGGTCCAGGGCACCTTGCGGCTGAGCCAGCGCAACTCTGAGTGCACAGTCCGAACCATGGAGGTGGACAGACCACAGCAAACCCAAACATCCCAGAAGCGAGTGTGGCACAGGAAGAGACCCAGCCATGCCCGGCGGAGCTGAGACAGGGAGTGAGGTGGAGAGCAAGGGTGACTGCCGGGCACGGCTCTCACTGTGACCCAGCTTGAGGTCTCAGCCACTGGGCTCTGTGGGGGTGCAGGGCCATGGCTGTGGCTCTCAGCCTGGTCCAACAGCAGCTCAGGGCCTAGAAGAGGCCCTCACGCTATCACGGACACATCCAAGTCATCACTGAACCCTGAGAGAATCCCCATCTGCTCCATTCCCAGGACGTCATAAACTGTGTGTGCATGAGGGCATGTACCTGCAATCCCAGTGGAGGCAGGAGGATCAGGAGCTCAAAGTCAGGCTGGTCTACATGACAAGTTCAAGGCTGGCCTGGGTTACATGAGACCCTGTCTCAAAAACGAGACAGAACCACCGTGCCTGTGCATGAGAATGGCCTTAGTTGCCTGAACTGCCTCTTCTTATCTTCATTCTCTGCCCCGGACCGTGCTTTCTCCTGAGGAGATGCTTGCGCGTGGTTAGAATTGAGTCACTGGGCAAGGGCAGCCCTGAATAGGAACTTCATGGCTCCAGCTGTCTGGGGGCAAGTTAACCTTTGAGGATAACAGACCCTGGCCAACAGTGCGATCTTGGCAAGTCCCCAAGGATGATTGTCATTTCTTCTTCTTATCTCCCAAGGAGGAAAGGTGGTCGAGTCTCCCTGGTCCCAGCCCGCCGCCCGCTCCGTGGTGGTGTCTACCGCCCTCTTGTGGTGGAGGGGTGTTTGTTCTTTTCAGTTTCTCCACTGACAAACATTCTCAACAGCCAGTGTGGCACAAGTAAGTGGGTGCACGTGGATGTCAAATATTTATATTTGAGCGTCTTACGTAGTGACATGAAGAGAAAATGGGGGATGGAAGGAGGGAGGGGGATCCACCCGGAAAAGGAACCCGTTTAAGCAAGATCAGGTCACCAAACAGCCTGACACCGGTGTCTGCTTGTTGAAGACCCCAGATTCAGATTCCAGCCAGGAGCTGCACATGTCACCCCCATCCGAGATGCTCTGCACCGGAGGACAAGACAGAACATACGGTGCCCCGGTACACTGGGGTCTCCTGCTTTCGTGAGTCTTAAAACGTTTGCATCCTAGAAGGAAGACCTTCTGAGGCTGGAATATATATTTTCATCACTTCTGCTACTGTTGAAATATGACGGCTCTGGCTTTCTCTCAAGGTTGCACTTATTTGCACGTGAGTGTGTGTGAAAGCGCGCCCAGGGCATGCAGGTGCCTGCAAAAGCCGAAGAGAGTGTTGTCGGATGCCCTGAGGTTGGACCCAACAGGCTGAGTTAAGCCACCCAACCGGGGGCTGGGAACTGACCCTGGCTCCTCTGCGAGAGCGCTGCTGGCCACCGCAGCGCCAGCTCTCCAGCCCCTCCAGCTTGGGGGGTTTTAGTGGAAGTGTTTATTATTATTTGTTGTTGTATGGTGTTTTCGCCGCATGGTCTATTCACATTCATGCAGTCCCCAGGGAGGCCAGAAGGGGGTACCAGATCCCCTGGAACTAGCCTTCAGAGACGGGGAGCCCCATGTAGACCAGCATTTCTCAACCTGTGGGCCACGACCTCTTGGGGTTACTGACTAACCTTGAGACCATCAGAAAACAGATGTTTAAGTTACGGTTTACGACAGTAGCAAAATTACAGCTATGAAGCAGCAAGTAATTTTATGGCTGGGGTCACTGTAACATGAGGGAACTATTAAAGGTCGCAGTGCAGGAAGGCTGAGGCCCGCTGCTAGCGACAAGGGAACAAGAAGGTGGGTCCTCGCCGGAGCAGCCGTGCTCATAACGGATAAGCCATCTACCAGCCCTGGATTTTTGTTGTTGTTGGTTGGTTGGTTGGTTTTTTTGTTTTGTTTTAGTTTGGTTTTGTTTGTTTGTTTGTTTGTTTTGTTGTTTTATGTGCCCGTTGCTCAAGGAGTGCATCTGCGCGCTGGGAACCCAACCCAGGCCCTCCGCAAGAGCAGCCAAGTGCTCTTAACTACTGAGCCAACTCCCCAGTCCCTGCTGTAAAACTTTACTAGGTTTTGAGGAATCTTCTTTAGGAGGGAGCGTGAATGCATCCCCCGCTTCCACAGGTTCTGCAGTTAAATTTACCATCTACTGGGGAACCGCAGAGGTCGGCTGCCCTCACCCCGGGGACCGCCTGGCAGCCCCGGCCAGGTGAGGGCCAGCTAGCAAGCACAGCCCGGACCCGGACCCGTGCGGAGGATTGTTTCTCAGCCGCTCCAGTTCAGAAGGTTCTGACCGCTGCTGCCTGAAACCTACGCTTAGACGTGCACTCTGGGCGGCGTTGGTGGTGAAAGCACCCGGAAAGCGGTTACGGAGGAATCCGCTGGGCTGAGCTCGCAGCTCGGCGGCTGAGCGCTGCGGCCCGGGCCTGCTGCGTGGCTCGGGTTCGACGCTGGATGTCGCCGTGCGGTGTTTCCCACCAAGCAGGTCTCCCTGAGCCGACACCCTGCCGTGGAACCGGGGAACTCGAGGTGCCCGCTTCGCCCTGGCGGTAAACGGTCACGGGTGGTGTGTAGCTCCTGCGCAAGAGTCCTGGGCAGCATTCACACAAAGCAGGAAAGAAAGGAGAGGGCAGGCTGGGGCAAGGAGGGGGACCGGGGTGGGTTATGATGAACATTATTATGCGTAATTAACATGCTAATAAAAGCATCACAATTGTAGGGTGATGAGGCAGGGAAGAGAGGGTCTCACCAGCCCACCAACCGCTCTTCCACCCTGGAGGAGGGGCTTCTGCCGGCAGGCCTTCCGGCCAGGGCTGCACCAGCTCTTCCCAGAGGCGCCCGAACACAGCGCGGCCCGAGGCTCTGCTGGCCCCTCCAGGGGCTTCACTTAGGAATTTCATGAGGTGGGCGGCGTCCAGGGGGTCTGGCCCCGCCGGAAACACAGGGCGCC